ACCCAATTGTGTCTTTCCTGGGTTGTAAACTATTGTGATGTCATTTTGGGTATAAGATCTCATATAGAGCATTATTCCTTGTGACTCTAGTATTTCCTGAGTTTTAAAGTTTCTATTTACATCTAAAATATCTTTATATGTGATATATCTCATTGCAGTCATCAAGTTTGGATTGGAGATTGCTTCTAAGGGGGCCACCCATGCTGGGATTCTAACATAGAATGGTTTTTTAATCTCAATCCAAATTTTTAACAGAGCTTTTCTCAGTACATGATAATTAAATTGTGTAGATGCACTCTGTTTAGGATTCCACATATAAGCATGCCATCCTGCACCTAGTTCTTGGCCCTCCAGTGTTAAAATCCTTGAGTCTTTCAACTGTATCCAATCACGTATCAATATCAGAGACGCTGACTGGTAGTATAGGCGCCAATCAGATAGTGCTAAACCTCCCCGTTCTGTTTTTTCTTGCAAAAGTTTTAGTTTAATTCGCAGTTTCTTCTGTTGCCAAATAAATCCCTTAAGCATTTTTTCTAGCGTCCAGTGTTGGAAGTGTAAAACAGAAAAGGGAACGTACTTTCATGCTTGGTGGTCGTGTAAGATAACGCAAATATTTTGGAAAGAAATCCATGGCATTATTGCCCAGACAACGAAGGTGTATATTCTGCTTGATCCAGAAGTATTTCTGTTAAATATAGTGCCTGACAATGTAGAGAAGGTAGATATACATTTGATTATTCATTTGTTGACGGCAGCCAGGATGTTGTTTGCAAAGTACTGGAAACAGGAAGTTATACCGTCTAAAAAGGAATTTGTAGTTAAAATAACTGAAATAGCAGAATTGGATAATTTGACAATGAAGCTTCATGGGAAGGAAGATGACGTTTATGATAATACTTGGAGAAAGTTTTATAGTTGGTTAGAGAAGAATGTTTAGATTTACGGATAAGCTGGGAGAATTGAATGTAGGGGTTACGATTCACAGCGAAGGAGTATTGATTTATGGAATCCATGTTTATGTTGTGTGTTTGTGGTTTGTTTAATGTTCATGTCTTATGTTTGTTGCAAAATTTAATAAATAATGCATTTTTAAAAAGCCAAAAAAAAAAGTTAGAGTTCTCAACCTCCAGGTTGTGGCTGGCCATCTCCTAGGATTACAACTGGTGTCCAGGAGACAGAGATCAGTTCCCCGGGGGGGGGAAACGGCCGCTTTGGAAGGTAGACTCTGCGGCATCACACCCATCTGAAGCCCCTCCCCTCTCCAAACCCTGACTGAGAGCCAGTTTGGGGTAGTGGTTAAGTGCGCGGACTCTAATCTGGGAGAACCGGGTTTGATTCCCCACTCCTCTACATGCAGCCGCTGGTGTGACCTTGGGTCACGTACAAGTTCTCTCAGAGCTGTTCTCTCAGGAGCAGTCCTCGAAAGAGCTCTCTCAGCCCCACCTACCTCCCAGGGTGCCTGTTGTGGGGAGGGGAAGGGAAAGGAGAC